AAAAAATGTGTAGTGATTTGCAGGCTCATCCATCACATTAATTATTAAATATTAATTTAATGTTAATAAAATTTAAAAAATCATGAAGATGCACGAGATTTATTTTTTAATCTCTTACTTACTAATAGTCATAATTAGGGTAAGGCGCCATAAAAAAATTTTAATTGAAAATGGGCGCCGCGACTAGGAAAAGTTTTGGAACCACTGCTATAGTGTATATATTCTTTTTAATTTCTCAATCAAAATTTCGCAGATTCTTTGCCCTATTATTTAGCTCTGCGATTCCACTGTCTATGACACCAAAAATGTCAGTAAAGCCTATTTCACCAAGATTCTTTCAATGCTTTCATGTAGCCTTTGCTCCTTCAATTTACAGCCTCAATTTTATTAATCTGCCCAGTCTATATTCCTACGTCCTTATCTCATTGTGCTCTCCAATTAGGGATCGAGAGCGAAGATTTTAAGTCGGGATCTCGTATAGGTGGACTACCCTTGATCACTACCATGACCTTAAGAAGTTTATTTTTACTCCACTTTTCATGGGCTTACAGAATTTTATTTTCTTCTGATCAACACCGACTTTTGATCCATCTCGGCTTACTCAGCCACCTTGTTTAATTGTAAGGTAACGTCAAGGTCCAACCAACATTAATCATTTCCTTCTGATAACTAGCTGCTACATCCTTTTGTTAAATGCATGTCTCATGTAATTCAGTATGTCTCCAATACGGTTAGACTGTTAATTATTATAATACATAGTCAGACTTACAAAAAATCTGTAACCTCAAACTCATCCACTTGATGTGAAATACCCGATTGTCGCTTTAATACTACCCTCATTTATTTTGATTCTCTGTTTTCTTTGGCGAATAGGAAATCACACGAATGTTCCAGATAGATGATGAGGCTAATTTCTATTATTCCCCGGATGCCGGCGATCTAACGAGCTGGACGCAGCGCAAGCACTCAGCTAACTACTGGTACGGCCAAAGTAGCTCTACCTCTACTTCCCATTTTTCTTCATCTACCACCAACACCACTGCTTCGACTACTACCAAGAACAGCAAAAGTACTAGCCCTACAAGAAAGGAAACCACTGACAAAGAGCAATTAGCTTCTAATTCTACTATAGATGTAACTTCATCTGCTTGTTCTGGTCTGGCAAAGCAACAATCTTCTTCCCAAATTTTGCGGCCAACATGGTGGCAGCCGCTATGGCGGCGCTGTGATGACAAATTTTTTTGGAATCGACAGCTGCTATCTGAGGCGATTGAGAGTGCCGAATGCCAATTGCAGCGGCTTGGCCTACCTCCAGTTGGCCTGCGCAAGCTGCAGCTACGTCAACGTCGAGTCCCTGACTCTAGCGATAGCTTAGGAGCTGACGTTGACGTTGATGATTCGCTTGATGAAAAAAAGTTGGCTACTGCCTTGCAAGATTTGGAACGTATCCTTACTCAGGTGGGAACCTATTTATTTCTTGGGCTTTTCTTAATCCAAAGTGGTGAACATTTAAAGAATGTTTGACTTAAGTTTTGAGTTATGTTGCATTATTTGTGTTTGAAAGAAATACTTTACATATCACCGATTCTAAATTATCGAAGCAATCTGTCTAAACCAATTCATTTCATTAAGTAATAGTTTTCATGAAACTTTTATTAATCAAACTACTTATTAGATCGTAGATATGAAGACCAAAACAATGTGGCCTTCTGTTCAATCATAGTCTCATTTAGCTTTCTAGTATTGATTCGACCTTGTTTTCGCAACTTGGTCGGGGAGTCAGGGAAACCTTGTGGAGCGTACCTGGTCCCGTGTCTTTTGCCATAGTATTCGTGATTTCCAGCATTGGACCATTGGCTGGGTACATTCCCAAACGTTTCGTCGGCCTCGTGGTCGACATCGTCAGTGAGAGGCGCCATCGTAAATACAGAGTTAAAACTTATAAAAGTGACAAGTACGCACAATGGTGACCTCTATCTAGTCCACCACTGCCTATAGGCTTTCATTTAATTTCCTACATCCCATAGGTGAAACACCCAGGGTACATTTTTTTATCCAATCCCGCGCCTGACTCTCAATAAAAAACTTTGTGGATACGAAGAGAAACTGGGTTTCGATAAATCTTCTGAGATATAAAAGTTTTCCTAAAGAAATCGCATGCTGGAATAACTCTTAACTTCCAGTCGAACCATAACTATGGGATGAAGATTGAAATACTCCGTAGTATGCTCATAAGAAGCTTAAGACTCAATAATTCTGAGCTCTGGGAAGAGGAACGGGGA